AGCCAGTAATAGCGCTGGAGCGAGCAGCATGCTCAACAGCCTGTAGCCCGACAGAGCGCACTTCCGGGTTGTCAGTGACACTGTTTACCGTGACATGTGTGTTTGTTTTGGTTTATGTCCTGTCTCCGCCCTTGTTATGTTTTTGGTTATTTCCTCTATGTCTCAGCTGTTTTGTGTTATCCCCTTGATTACTTTTAGCATTGAAACCCTTCGTGTGTCTTTGTTCGGCAAAGTATTGTTTCAGTGTTTTGCCGCCAGTACTCTACCGGACCGTCTGTCCTGTCTTTTTGTTCCATTTGGATCCGGTTTCATTTTAGGTTGTGATTCTCGTTTAAGCCGTTTCACCATGTTTGCCGATCGCCTGAACTTCTGCCTGTTTTTGACCACGAGTTTGCCGTACGGGACGGATTTGCCTGCCTGCCTCTCTCCTAATAAAGCTTTAACTGCATTTGCATCCATCTCTATATCCATTACATGACAATAATACGCGAGTATTTCCACATACTTTCCTGTAAACCCCGTCTGATTGGTCTTGCCTCGGTTCACTGGAGATACAAAATTACAGCACTGCTGTCTTCTGTTACTGACGTTGAGTTACGTAGTGACAAACCGCTCCAAGTGGAGCATTATTCAGCGCTAAAGTAAAAAAATCTTGAATGCCCAGGCCAGGTTACACCCCTGCTCCAGCACACAGGCTGTGTTTTGTATATTGCAGAGTATGGCAACTGCGATTACAGTATACATTAGTATAGGACTTTAATCCTTGTGCCAAGTAGTTACTATGAATTGCATGGCTACACTGTATTGAAGGATTACAAAAATAAAAAATTACGAAGAATGCCACTGACTGTTGCTAAACCGACTTCATCTGAGTTAGCAATTATACTAATACCTAGCGGTATTAGCAAAGCTTAAAACTATGACATAACTAGCTAGTTCTCCATAAAAAAACACACTTCTGCATCTTTCTCAAGTCAGAGAATGGACCACGTTAGATTTAAATGTCTTACATTTCTATACAAAAGGGATCATGTGGCATTGTTGTGAATAAAAACGTATGCTATTGATAACACTTAACATCACACTGCCATATCACCACAGATGTAGATCTTCACTAAACTTTTTTTTTCCCCCTTTTTCTGAGAAGTCTGCACACGGGTCTGGGAGAAAGTAGAATTTGGATATTAGCAAATGTTGGATATTATCACAATCGCAGTAAGATACCCACAGCCCCAAAGTTCTAAACATGTTGTCTTAGATATTCCCTTATTAATCTGTACTAATGCAACCTTCCTAATTCACATCACGTTTCTGTGTTTTCATTATACAGTTAATTAACTTTTAAATTTAGCACAGAAAGACATGATATGTGGCCCAATATGTTGCACGACACTGCAAAAATAACTTACATAAGTCCCATAGGCTCTGTGTACGATTAAGTTAAATATCACCATAACAACATTTTAATGTTGTTTGAGTTATTTTATTTATTTATTTATTTATTCATTTTTAAATCTCCTGCAGCAACCATGGGAATGTGCAAACTAAGAAATTCATTGTACATGGAAGCTTGTGAATATGAATTCAGTATGAATTCAAGAATCCCGATCTCACAAATTATATAGAGGTACCAAAAAATGTCTTTCCCCTAGCAAAAGAAAACATGATCACATAACACAACGCTTCTGTTTAACACAATACACAAAAGGGCAGAATTTCAATGACAATAAACTGACGTAAAGCAATATCCAGTGTATATTTTCATGGTCATTCTTGTTTAAAAAAAATAATCATTTTTTTATTTGGATCAGGTTTGCGTTTTCCATGCATTCGGGCATTCTATGAATTTGTTAATATCTCTGATTTTCCACGGGTTCTCTAGTAAATGTGGGACTGACAGAGCTAAGGTGTAACAGCATCTAAGGGTAATACAAATTGTGTGCAATTTCTTGTCATTTTAAACTTAAATATTAATCGAAAAAGTGACCATTAGTTTGGCAAACTGGTCTAAAGTGTCACAAAAAGAATAAATCATCTTTTCTCATTAAATCTTCTTCTAGTTTTTCTGATCTTAGTGCTCTTTGTGGTTTTGTGTGTGGTGGTGGAGGGGGGGGGGTTTTTTTTTTGGAGGAGGAGTGGTTTTTTTTTTTTTTTTTTTTTTTTTTTTGTTTGTTGGGGGGGGTGGGTTTTTTTTTTTTTTTTTTTTTTTGTTTTTAAACCCCCCTACTTTCCCTCAAAAAAAAACCAAAAAAAAAATAAAAAAAAATAAAATAAAAAAAAATTAATTAAACTTTTCTGTTTATTTAATCTCTTTAAGAAGAAGAGGGGGGGGGGTGTGTTTGGGGGGGGAGGGGGGGGGGGGGGGGGGGGGGGGGGGGGGGGGGGTTTTTTTTTGGTTTTTTTTTTTTTTTTTTTTTTTTTTCCTTCCCACCACATCTTTTTTTTTTTTTTTTTTTTTTTTTTTTTTTTTTTTTTTTTTTTTTTTTTTTTTTTTTTATTTGAGATGTAATTAACGCGTCGCCACGGCAACTAATTTCTCAATGCCGTAAATTATCGCCGCCTTTTCATCAAAATTCAGTTACTTTGGCTCCTGTGTGCAATGTACTGATGCAATTAGGTTACCGGGGCAACCTGAAAGTGTTCATTTTCTTTTGTGTAATTGCAGCGAGGCAGAAGTTTTTATAACAGGGATTCATGTTCACTTTTTTTTTTTTTTCGTTCCACAAAGAAAGCTTGCGCATTTTAGCACCTCTGTTAAGAGGCCCTGCTAACACTGTGGTACAACAAATATGCCCCCCCGGTTTTCTCTCCTGCTCTCTGTTTCTGTCTCATTACACACACACGCACACACGCACACACGCACACATGCAATAATCTGATCCTCTGACTTTACATAAGTATCAGATTACAATGTTTATCTCTTTCCGTCCAGTTGACTTTCTACTTGGCGTATCAGAATATTGCACACTTTACCTGGTGTGTATGTGTCACCTCAGTCCTTCATTCTTTTGTTCCTCATTAGCCGTTTGCATCTTAATAAAGAGGATGTAATTTGCTCGTGACACATTGGGAGCCTGGGTTTGCCATCAGCTTCTCTGTTGGTAGGCGCAGAGAGGGAATAAGTTCTCCATTGCCCAGTCGTCTCATCGTCCTCCCTCCTCCAACCCTCCCGAAACTGGCTAGCAGTGGAAATAACAGGTCATTGGCTCCTAAGCTCTGGTTAACTGAAAAGGTAATTAAATTTGTAAGCAGGCTTTTTGAATCTTCCGAGCCTGGCCAATAATACGAGTGGGGATTACAGCCATCCTGAGGCAATGCTTGTAGTCTTGAGTCCTCAGCAGCGAAGGCTCGGGCCTTCTGACCAGGCCAGATCTGCAGCTCCAAACCATAATTAGCTTCAGTTTATCCCTAATAGTCCTGGGACACTGTTCAGCACTGATGGAGGGATATTTCTCATGCAAGAAAACAAAACATAACATAAATGTGGCCAAACACTTCACTTTGAATCAGTTCAAATGAGAACATTGTGGCGTTCAACTAGCAAGCGCCAACGTTTTCTTACCAAACAACATATTTAAAATGCCACATTATAAATGAAAAGACTTTCTCCCAAAATGGTTGTCTGTGCATTTGTAACTGCCTTTCATCATTTTAAAGGATTTTTTGCTCTCGCCGGAATGTCCCAGCGCGTCTTACGCAGCTGTCAGCAGTAACCTCGACATATCCTTAGTACTTTGATATCTCCGTTCTGTTTGATTCGCTGTGATTTTACCAGGGGATTGACTCGCTCTATCTATTTCAGTAAGAGGGGGGGATTTCAGGGGGAGAAGGTGTCTTATCCTGCTCCGTTGTCCCTGCTGACAGAAAACAACCGATTACAATCATTTACAGAGACAGCGTAAAGCATGAGTGGGAGGAGAGCCGGAGGCCTCTCTGGACGGGCTCCTCGGGGACACACTGAAAGAAAAACGCACCCTGTTTAAAAGCACGGCCCTCAGCACACCGATGACACGTTCGATTTCCACTACGACTACTTTCATGATATTCTGCTTTTACGAAGACGTCGAGCCTCAGAGTGACTAGCAGCCTCTTTCAGATGAAGTGGCTGTAGCATAATTACTGCTGCTACTTTCCAGCCTTTGATCAAATCTTGTTGTTTTTTGTGTCTGACATTCTCTCCATGCGTGTCAAACGCGAGGAGCTTCTCCCTGTTTATCCATAATGCATCGTGCTCATGAAGTGGGGGACGGTAGCCTCTTGGGCAAGTCTTGATCATATTGTTGATGTTGTACAGTGCAGTTATACATTTCTAACACCACATCGGTCTGAGCAGCGACACAATTATTTCCATCTTAGAGAAGGAACAGTTGTGTGCTTGAGTTTATACCAGTTGAATTCTCACGTCTCGGAAGGTTCTTTTCGATGTTAACCTTTCCATGATAATACCTCATTCACACGGGCTTGTATGGCAAACACGCCACAAAATCTAAAGACTAATCATAAATAAACGAACAACAACAAAAAAAACAACAACATGTTCTTATTGGACAAAGAAAAATGTATAATCGTTGATATGGTGGGAAATTTTCTGTAAGGAGACGTTTTACAGAATGAGTCTCCAGTGTCAGAGCTTTGTAACAGTGAGTTTTCCACCATGGGATGGGAAAGTCTCTGAGACTTAAAGAGACAAAAATAAGAGAGGCTGGTGATACCGACAAACGTAATAACAGGAACTCATTTGTTTTGCGGACGTTCCACAATATTAAATATATCCATCCATCCATCCAAGCATTTTCCGTACCGCTTGTCCTACACAGGGACGCAGGGAGCTTGGGGGCTATGACACACAAGGGGCACAAGGTGAGGGACACCCTAGATATGGTGCCAACCCATCGTAGGCCACAATCATACACACGTATATGCACACACACACTCCGGACAATTTAGAGATGCTTACATTAGCCTACAACGCATGTCTTTGGACTGGGAATACCCGAAGGAAACTCGGGAAAGGAATCGAACCTTTAACCCCGGAGGTGGGAGGCAAACGTGCTAACCACTAAGCCACCGTGTCCCCTACATTATGTAGCATTGGCAAATTGTTGCAGTATACCAGGAATAAAAGACTCTAGGATGTGCTGTTACAGGAAAATCATCAACTCTAGGGTGGTAACAGCCCTCACACCACACTATTGTTAATTATTTTCCTATAATAGCATGCCCTGTCGTATGTATGGGTGTATGAATGTGTTTGTGAACGTGCCCTGTGATGGACTGGCACCCCGTCCAGGATGTACCTCGCCTTGTGCTCCAAGCTCCCTTGGAAAGGCTCCAGGTTCCCCGTGACGCAGTAGGATAAGCAGTATAGGAAATGGATGGATGGATGGATGGATGGAGTATGCCGTGTCATATTTTATTCCTTACTTATTTAACACAGACACTTTTTCCATGATAATGAAAGTGTTTTTAGAAAGTTTAAGCTTCTATATAAAGCTACGATAAATGACCTGCAGTTCACAAATGATTTTGAGCATTTTCATATTCGTTTTCAAGCTCAAGTTGAGTGGATTCATACGTAGTTTGTTATTTCTCAACCTTGACATGATCGCAGGAAACAGTTTCCATAATCTCTCATTTTTACTGTGTAGTAGGACACAATGAACGATGCAACTATGATAAACCTTTCATTTTATCTTCTCCTCGAATGGAAAAAAAACCCCCACAATAAAAACTCATCTACAAAAAGTTTATTAAGCATGTTTGCTTACTGAAGTCTAAAGGAGTATTTGCTTTTGTCACATTTATTCCCCTTTTACCGGTGCAAGGGTCCCTGGAAGACGAGTTACCAAGGAACACAAAATTTTAATTAGTGTATTTTAATCATTCAGGCTTTTCGAGCTAATCCACAGACCCCTGAGAATTCCCAAGATGCAGCACTGCACTGCTTTACCATTTATTGTTGAGTCTATTATAATTACTGTTAGCAGGTGGGGGCTGGGAGACATTTATTATGTTTTTCCATCTTTATTATAATTACTGGAAAAAAAAATGAAAGGATGCTGTTTCATTAAGTTTAGAGATGATGCCATGTTAGCCTCCTGTCCTCTGTCTCATTGCGGTTTTGTGCTTTAAAGCAATTACATTCGCTTTCGTTCTCTGGTATTTATACATTTACAGATCCATGTAAAAAAATAAAAAAATAAAAAAAGATAAATAGCAAAGGATAGAGAAAAGGGGAAAGGTATGGGGGGGTATGTGCAAGAGATGGTCTTAATGAAGGGCTTTTCCGGGGCTGCCTTTCAAAATCCATCTAAAGCTCTGAAATCTGTGTGTGTCTGTGTGTAAAATCCAAATGTTTCAGATAGAATAATTGGAGCCGGATCAGAACCCATGAACAGACAGGAGGATGTGTTTTCTTCATTTACTCACTTAAAAAGAAAATGAAGATAAGACGTTGGGAGTAAGACTTTAAGCCTCGAGCTTTGGGTGTTCTACAGGGATTTTTTCCCTCCTGAATCTTCTAAAATCGTCTGTTTTTAATGTCAGTGTTTGGATTCATTTTGCAGCTTGTTCACAGACTGCCATCTATGAACTGATGCTTAGAAGTGAATTTTGGAGGCTGCGGGGTTTTATTTTTTAATGCTTGTTGGATGATTCATGGGGAGTGGCTTAAATAAACAGCTCTAATCTGATGTGTCTGTATGAACAATTTTATCATTTCATATCGTGTCCACATTCTATCTATTGTAATGTCGCGTTTGATACAATCTGTCATGATATCTGCTTAGTACAACGTTGGACCGTTTTCTTTATTTCTAAGTTCATTCCTGCCTCATTTTCAGAATTCCAGCATGTATGATGTATTTTTAGTGTCGAATCATTTGGCTATTTCTGTGCCCCTCTGTAAGTCTGCAGCGTTGCTGACAGCCCTGTTTTTTTTTTTTTCATATTTTCATGGAAAATTCCACATGTCCTTATTAGCTGAGAAGGCAGAAATATATTTCGCAGCAGATCCCGGGGAAAAAAAAAATTAATTAATGGAGCACTGTGGCGAGCGAAAGGCCAGCGCAAGGCAATTATAGTGTCTTTGTGAAGTGTCAGGATTTTGGAATTATAGAATCAGGCTGGACTGCCGGTGGTAATTATGGTCGAAGGAGGAAATCTCCTCACACCTTTGCTCATATTCAACAATTTTCAACTCAATTTCTAGAGCACGGCTCTCTCTGTCCCCCTGTGGCCTACACTGATTTTGTAGGACTTAAGCATGTCTACTGATTCGGGTCTTTAAATCATTTTTGTCTAAACTATACAAGTATAAAACCATGACTACTGCAGTGCTTGAGGAAGACAATAACTTTTAAAAGCCTCTAGAACAGACTGTGTGCTGACAGCTTTATTATATACAGCCAGTATTCTTTATTCTTTTCTGATATGAGCAGAGGAGAAGAAATTTATCCTGTCAAGGGGACTAAACCTCAGCAGAGTTCTGAGCATCGTTTCTACTGAAAAATCCCACATCATACCCAGTACTGTAAGCCACAGATGGCTTAAGCTAGGCGTTTGTTGGGTTGGGTTGTCTGCTTTACACCGTATGTTGTGATGTGGATTTACCTCTTGTTTTTACAGATTAGGACCAAAGTGATGGCTTTGGGGACTTCAGCCAGTGCTCGTCTTTGTAGACACTTTAAGGGTTAGCTTCGAACCCTTTTGTTATGTCTGAGGTGAGCATATATTACGGAAAAGCAGCTATTTGGACTGCACGTTGTCATTTTGGTATCATGCTAAATTAAATTGAGACGTGACACTAGTCTTATAGTTATTCTTAGCCGTATTGTGGCGTTGAGCTTAATTGAGGTTTATCACGGGTAAGATTTGGTGGTGATGTCTTCACTGTTTGTTATTTCCTTTCAAACCTGAGATTAGATTGCTGGCAATCAGGCTCAACAATCTTTAACAAATCTTCCTCTCTTGATGTGGAATATGGAATGTGGATGAGTACAAGACTGCAAATCACATACAGAATGGAGCAATTTGTGATGTTAATGCTTTTCAGCGACTCTTTGTGTGTTTGCCGGTTCGAGGGTGGATCAGAAACTATGAACGGCGTGTCATCGACAGGAACTGAAATCTCAGGTGAGACGCAGCCGAGTCACCTGACAGCCTTTCCACTTCTTCATTCCCAGTGTGGAATATATGCTCTGGATATCCCTTGAGCCGAGCGCATCGAAAGCTGTTTTCTTAACCCTTATAAAGTAGTAATGGTATCGCTTAGAAACGTGTGGCGTTCCTTACAGTCAGTACATTTACATGGACAACAATAATCCGATATTAACCCGATTAAGACGATACTCTGATTAAGAAACTAGCATGTAAACAGCGATTTTTGATTACGTTAATCTGATTAAAGTCATACTCAAAAGTAAACACAAATCAAATTAAGGCGTGACGTATTCCTATTTTAGTCGCATTATCGACGTGTATTACAGACATGTACACGCCTTAATCACACTATTAACGTCGTGTGGGAGTTTTCACCGCTTTTTGCGACAGAACACGTAAACACATGGTAGTGCTCATCCGTTTGATGGCTGCGTCCAAAACCCCGTACTTACCTACTATATAGTAGTACTATATATTATAGACGATAAGTACGTGGTTTGGGACACAGCCCATGGCTTCAAGCAGTCATCAATTAGCACGTACAGCACGACAAATAATGAACTGCACTTGAAGCGTTTTTTAAATTAAAAAGTAAAAATACCCAAAACTGTATACCGTACCATAACGAAGACGAACTGTATGTTGATACGTGAAATTCTGGAGGGAACGTTGGATGTTGTGGCGCGGTGACGTAATGACCTGTGCCGTTAATCGATCTATATTCTATGTTCTATAACATAGTAAAACAGGAACATGAAAGGAATATTCTAAAAGCGACTCATGTAAACACCTTAATCAGAATATTGTCTTATTAGAATAAGGTCAATAATTAAATTACTGCTGTTCATGTAAACATAGTCAGTGATCACCTGGTGGATTATTTACTCCGGTACACTAATAACTCACTATCACAGGTTAATGTAAAAAAAAAAAAAGAAACAATCCGGAGTGAATTATCTTAAAATCACAACAAATTATAATACTTGGACTAATACATTACTCGCCTTGATAACAGCACCATTCCTGTCAGATAAAGATGCCACCAGTGTCTTGACTGACTGCGATTAAGATATAGTTCACGAGGCCGCTTTTGCTGTTTTACCTTCTGTCAAACTACAGACACCAACAAACTGCGACTTCCTTTGCAATTTCCGTTTGCTATACAAAGTGTGGTAACACCCTGTTGGGCCTTGTTTTTTTTTTTTTTCAAAAGGTCCATCCACATCAAATTCCTTCCAGATGAGTAACTTACATGACTAAACTTACGTGACAGCAGTTACCTTTTAATGCTTAACCATTAATGATTAGTTTATAGCTATAAATAAGGCAATTCAATATGAATGTTGTGTTTCACATTAGCACCTATAAGCACAACCAAGAACCAATCAGACACATTTATGGCATTTAAACATGTTTAATAAAGACAGATCAATCGGTTGAGACTGACCGATCATCTCAGTGGGAACTGATATTTTATTACCGTCCCCAAAGTTGCAAATTCAAGTGTAGAAAGTAGCGAGCGAGAGGGGAAAGGAAGAAAGGAAGCACACGTGTCTTGGCGTTGGCGGAGCTCTCTGCATGCACGATTCACTGCTCTACACTTGTCAGTACCGTTGTGTGTGCAGAATTCTTGGCACCTTGTTCTCAATTTTAATGACCACACTCTCTGATAGTGCCCTGCACGCTCTCCGGGCATCTTCCCTCACACTCTGTATTGAAAATACCATTTAAAAGCCGTAGACACCTATTTTGAATTTGACACAGGACAGTAAATGTATACGTCTTCTTCCAATAATTGTTCAACATTCTGCGCTAATGTCTCCAACACAAATGAGCTGCCTTCAGTGAAAAATAACCGGTTAGCAGAAGACGTTACCATCAGATCTTACCTTATGATAAACCTCATCTAAGATT